TCATTTACAGTTTATATTTGGACAGAGATCGCGGATATGGGTGGTGCTTTCCACGTGTCAGTGCAGGACAACCAAATTGCAACACGTGGCAAGTTCGGAAGCAATTAAGAGCCTGTTTAGTGCAAATTGTGAAAAGAGATTTTTAGCTCTAAAAGCACAAATTACACCAAACAGGCCAACTTACGAAACGAGCTAGCTTCTCAAATGTGCTGCAACTTCCCAAAAGCACATCTTCTCTTCGTTCCTTTGCAAATCTTGGAAGCACCAATTTCATACTTGCGCAGGAGCTTCTCGCTTCAAGATTAATAAAATTGACATAGTATTTTCATTTTATCCTTACACTTCTTTTTATTTACAAAAAAACCAGTATATAAGGGTTTCAATTTATAACATTACCAAGTAGCCCAGGCACATCTTTTTGTTCCTCGTCTTCTTAACTGTCTTCCTCCTCATCCAATCAGAGAAACAAACCGAAAATCCTTACCAATTTATAACATCACCCACCATTACTAAGTAGCGCAAGCACATCTGTTTCTTCCTCTGTCTTCTTAACTATCTTCTTCCTCATCCAATTAGAGAAACAAACCAAAAATCCTTACCGTATTCTTCCCCGTCTTCTTTCTCCCTAAACCGAAGATCCCTTATCTTCAGTTTGAAGATGAACCCAAGAACTAGGTTCACAGCGAATCCCGCACTTGGGTTAGAAGAATCCAATGCTTGAGTTCGCGACGAACCCCACGCCTGGGTTCCAAGACGAACCCAAGCACGGGGAACCCAACGGCTGGGTTCAAGATGAACCCTGCACCTACGTTCGCGACGAACCCAGGAGCTGGGTTCCAAGACGAACCTCGTGCTTGGGTTCACGCGAACCCAAAGGTAAGCAAAAAAAAATTAAAAAAAAAAAAGAGGAAAAAAACAACCAAAGGAAAGGGAGAATAATAACGTTTAAAATATTTATATTGATAATTATATAATTAAATGATTTTAAAGCTATATTAATAAAAAAATTTGACCATGTTATTAATTTTTATCATATGGATATTTCATGCAATTTAAGTAAAGAAAAAATTTATATAAATTTTTTTTAATTAATATGTCATATTAAAACTTAACGAAAAGTATTAAAAAGAGGTTGAATTTTTAAAATTTTAAAGATTAAAAAAAGATTTTTTTAGTACAAGAATTAAAAAAGGATTTTTTTTTAAATAGTAGAGGATAAAAGAAGTATTTAACTTACGTTTTGATTTTAATTATCTTATTTATGTTATTTAAATGTAATAATATTTTATTTTTTAATATTAAAATATAAATATTTATCTAATATTTATGTTTTAAAATTTGAATAATTAATTTTTAATCATTAACTTTAAACTAATTATAAATTTAAAGTCATATAAAAATAAAAATAAAAAAGAAGTGAGAGTGATGAAAAAATAAACGTCTATTTGAGTCATTTTAATATTAAAAGATCTTTTATAAAAAAATTTACCAAACAATTTTTCACTCTATAAGTACTTCTATAAAAATTTTTACCAAATACTATCAACTTCTCAAAAACAACATTTTTATAACAAATTCTTTTGAATAGGTGTTCTATTAAAAGCTACAATCACACCAAACAAACTCTAAGTATAGGGAACTTGAACTGGCAATCACTCAAATTGCAATGGGGATAATGCTAAGGTTTAGTTTGATAATGTTGTATATGGCATTTTTTTTAGATATTTATAGAATTTTTTAGAATTTATATGTTTAATAAATTATGTATCCTTATTCTTTAAAAAAGAATATAAAAGTTATTTTATCCAAAATTAATAGTATTCTTAAACAATTTTAAAAATTTTTCAAATTTTTTTTCTACATTATATATTAAATTATTAATTAATTTAATTTTAAATAATAATATGTCTAATTGAATAATTTTACAATAGATAATTTTTTTTTGAAATATAATTATCAAATACAAAAATGTTTTTCATGACAATACAATTCAGCACTTTTAACAACTACACATATAAGACAACACTAGACAGTATTGTTAAATTAAGCCTAAGTGACTTAATGGTCATATTTTTTAAAGAGAAAGTGTTAAAATATAAAATTTCAAAAATCACTTAAATTATTATAATATATCTAATATTAAGTGATTTAAGGTGTGGTTGAGATTGTTATGAAGTGTCGTGAGTCTGTGATTGTAGTTATGACTGTAATTGTACTAAATTGTACTATATTATACTGTAATTATGATTAAAAGTTATTTTGATATTTTTTATTTATTTTTTAAAAGTATTATAGATTAAATATGGTAGATTTATTAATTAAAATTTAAAAAATATTGTGAGATATATAATTATTAAAATAGATAATATTTATTATCTTTTAATAATTTAGGTTTTTTAAATTTGTTATTACTATTAAAATATTATAAATTATGATATAATTAAATTATATGAAATTAGGTTTTACTTAGTAATTTTGTAATTATATTAAATATTAATTATTTTCCCTAAGTAATTTTGTAATTATATTAAATATTAATTATTTTCC